ATTGGCGCCCGTTGTCTGATATCAAGACCTGCGGAATCCCAAAGCGGCAGACTATGTTCCTCCAGAAAAACTTCTGAATTGCCCTACCAGAGATAGAGGCCAGGGGCTCCGCTTCCATCCATTTCGTGAAATAGTCTACGGCCACCACGAGGTACTCATACCTTCCCGGGGCTCGGGGGAAAGGACCTAGAAGGTCTATCCCCCACTGAGCGAAGGGCCAGGGACTGTGGATGGGGATCATCTCCCGAGCTGGCTGGTGGAGCAGTGGGGCGTGCACTTGGCAAGTTCGGCATTTCTGTACCAGTTCTGCGGCATCTCGGAAGACAGAGGGCCAATAGTAGCCCAGGAGAAGGCATTTTTTGGCCAATACCCGGGACCCCACATGGGCCGCACATATCCCTTCATGGATTTCGCGAAGGACGTAGTTACCTTCCTCGGGAGTCACGCACTTTAGCCAGGGAGATAAGTACGACCTCCTATAGAGGGATCCCCCAGCGTAGGCGTATTTGGCAGTTCTGAGCTGGATTCGGCGAGCCTCGATTTTATTCTCAGGGAGGACACCCGAGCTGAGGAAGTTTACGAGGGGGGTCATCCAGGTAGCCGAGCTGTCGATAGCCAGGACCTGGACCTGGTTGATACTTTTCTGCTTTACCACCTCCACCAAAACCTTCTTGTTAAGGTGTGCAAACGAGGAGGACGCCAGCTTTAACAGGGCGTCTGCACGCTTGTTTTGCGATCTCGGCACCCGCTCGATCTCAAAGGCATCAAACAAGGCTGTTGCCTCCTGCACCTTGGCCAGATACTTCTTCATGACCTCCTCCTTGGCCTCGTATTCCCCACGAACTTGGAGGACGACGAGCTGAGAGTCGCTCCGGACTTTGATCGCGATTACACCCATCTGGTGGGCTATCCGCAATCCCGTCAACAGGGCCTCATACTCAGCCTCATTGTTAGACGCGGGGAAGTCAAACCGGAGAGCATAAGTCAGCTCTTCCCCGGTTGGCGAGATGAGCAGCAGACCTGCTCCGCTTCCTTCCTTGCTGGAGGCCCTGTCTACGAACAACACCCATGGCTCCTCTGACCGTGCATCCTCGTGCAGAGAGTTTGGTTCGGTTAGGGTCAAGCCGGCCCCCTCAGCAAGGAAGTCTGCCAAGGCTTGGGCCTTGATGGCTGTGCGAGGCTGATAGCCGACGTCATGCTCGGCCAGCTCGACGGCCCATTTGGTCATCCTGCCCGAGACTTCGGGTTTCGTGAGTATCTGTCGGAGGGGCTGGTCGGTCATGACGACGATACTATGGGCCTGGAAATAAGGTCGGAATTTTCGGGCAGCGTGCACCAAAATCAGGACCAATTTTTCGGCCGACGTGTACCGTGTCTCCGGCCCTTGTAGGGCACGGCTGACATAATATATTGGCCTCTGAACCCCCCTGTCTTCCCGCACCAAGACTGCGCTAACGGTCTCGTTGCAAGCAGACAGGTATAGGAACAGGGTCTCCCCCTGCTCTGGGACGGTCAGAGTGGGTAGCTCTGCTAAGTATGCCTTGAGGTCGGCGAAAGTTTTCTGGCACTCCTCCGTCCATTGGAAGTCTTTAGGCGCTTTTAGGATGCGGAAGAAAGGTAGCCCCTGGACCGCGGAGCGCGAGATGAACCTGCTCAGGGCGGCCATCCTTCCTGTGAGTCGCTGGACCTCCTTCACGCTCCTTGGGGGGGCCATGTCCATGATAGCTTGGAGCTTATCCGGGTTGGTCTGGATCCCGTCCCGAGACACCAGGAATCCCAGGAACCTTCCCGACCTGACCCCGAAGGTGCACTTCTTCGGATTCAGCTGCATCCGGCTCTCCCGCAGGATACCCAGGATTTCCCTCAGGTCGGGGACGAGCTGCTGATCAGTTCGGCTCTTAACGATCATGTCATCCACGTAGACCTCCATGCTTCGGCCGATCTGATTCTGGAACAGTTTGTTGACCAAGCGCTGGTAGGTAGCTCCCGCGTTCTTCAGGCCGAACGGCATAGTCCGGTAGCAGTAGGTTCCTTCTTCTGTGATGAAGGAGGTCTTCTCCCGGTTCTCCTCAGCCATCTCTATCTGGTGGTACCCCTTAAAGGCATCCAAAAAGTACAAAACATCAAATCTCACGGTAGAATCTACTAACCTGTCGATTCTCGGTAGAGGTAAGCAATCCTTTGGGCAAGCTTTGTTGAGATCCGTGAAATCCACGCACATCCTCCAGGTCTGGTCCTCCTTCTTTACCAGCACCGGGTTGGCTAACCAGGTCGGGTAGTAGACCTCTAGGATGATCTGGGACTCCAGCAGTTTTCCGACCTCCTTCTTAATCACCTCATTCCTTTATGGGGCGAAACTCCTCTTTTTCTGATTCACCGACTTGAAGCGGGAATCCACGTTGAGGTGGTGGACTGCAAGGTCGGTCGGGATCCCAGACATGTGGTCAACTAACCAGGCGAAGACCTGGGAGTATTCCCTAAATAGGGCCTTCAGATCCTTCTTCTCCTCAGGGGGCAGTAGCTTGCCGATGCGGATTACCTGGTCGGGCCGGTCCTCCCTCAAGGGGAACTCCTCTATCTCGTCCTGGGTGCCCAGCTGCCGAGCTTCCTCCCCTGGAATGTAGGGTTCCAGGCAGGTCGTCTGGGCGACCACCTTCTCCTGTCCTTGAAACATGGTCAGGTAGCAAGCTCTGGCCACCTCTGGATCACCGCGTACCTCGGCTATTCCTCCCGGGGTGGGAAATTTGACGCTGAGGTGGAGCGTTGAGGGGATAGCTCGTAGAGCGTTCAAGGCAGGCCGACCCAGGAACACGTTATACGTGGAATGTTGCTTGACCATGACGAAATTGACAGGGATGGTCCGACATTTGGGGACCTGCCCTATCGTGACCATCAAGGTGATCATTCCCTCCGGGTTGATAGGAGGCCCGGTGAAGCCCATCAGTGGTGTCCGAACTGGGGTCAACTGCCCGTCCTCCAAGCCGAGCTCTTTGAACACCCGATAGAACATAATGTCAACCGCACTCCCCTGTCGACATACACCTTTTTCACCCGCTAGTTGTTGGTGACAATGTCTATCACGATGGTTTCATGGTTCCCGGACGCTAGGGGAACCGCATCCCTTGGGCCGAAAGTGATCTCCTCGTCCATGCGCAGCCGCTTCAGGGAGTCATCCTCCTCGGGGGGAGGTCGCCTGTTCTTCCGAGCGGTGTGACTGTCCCCCCCGGTGGGGCCTCCGGCGATGGTGTTTATCACCTCAACCAGGTTCTGGGCGTCCTGGTCGGGGGAAGGACCCCGACGCTCGTCACGCCGCTCAGGGCGGTCGCGCCGCTGGCCTTCACCCCGATTTTCGCGATAGGTGCGTCCGGGCTCCTGGCCGAAACGACCTTGCCGCACGAACCGTCCCAGGAAACCGCGCTGGATCAGATCTTCGATCTCCTTCCGCAGGGCCCAGCATCCCTCTGTGTCGTATCCCACGTCGCGGTGAAAGGCGCAATACCGGTCCTGGTTCCTTTTGTTCCGGGGGGTCCCCATCTTAGGCGGCCGATCTCCCAGCCCTTCCGCCTCCATAACAGCCAAGATCTGGGCTCTAGACCACGTTAGGGGGGTGTAGCCCTTCTCCGGGAGAGGCGGCGGAGCAGAGGCTTTCTCCTTCGAGAGCCGGTCAAAGACGTTTTTTTTAGCCGGAACATCCTTACCCTCTGGGGAGTTTGCCCCCGTCCCTTCTGATCTCCGAACTCCCGATCTGACTCTTTCTTCAGACGGCCTGCCTCCTCCGCATGAGCAGCCGCGTGCGCCCTGGTCAGGAGCTCCTCCAGATTCTTAGGTGGCTTCTCGGCCAGCTTGTAGAAGAGCTCCTCCACCCTGACCCCATTCACGAAGGCGGCCATGACCACCTTTTCGTCTTTGTCCCTGACCTACCATGACTCTGAGCCCATTCGCATTGAAGCGGGTCATGAAATTCCTCAGGGACTCGTCAGGCCTCTGCCTGATAGCCATTAGGTGGGTCGCATTCTTCGAGTAAGTTTTCGAGGAAACGAACTGGGCTACGAACTGCCTGGCCAGTTCAGGAAAGTTCCGGATAGACCCTGGGGCCAGGCCTTGGAACCAGAGTCGAGCCTTCCCCTTTAAGAACATGGGGAAGGTCTTGCAGCGGATCTCATCCGCGGCTGTTTGCAGGCGCATGTGCGTCAGGTAGACCGAAAGGTGGTCTTCCGGGTCGGTTGAAGCATCGTACATCTCAATGCTCGGGATCTTGAACCTCCGGGGTAGGGGGTAATCCTCCATCTCCTGGGGAAAGGGCGAGGTGGAGTAGTTGTCCTCGTACAATTGCGGCCGCAAGATCTGCCCGAGCTCGTCCTGGACAGGTTTCAAGGGGAGGTCCCGCGGCCGGCTCTTGACAGACCGAGTAGGGGAACGCTCGAACCCATTCCGCGTGGGCTTTCGTGGGGAGGGGTCTCTTGGATGGCTCCCCGCGGACCGGTCGCGGGAGTACCTCTCGCTGTCCCTGACCATCGAGGCTCGGGGGCGAGGGGGAGTCCGGGGCCGCTTCCTTCTGGGAGGCTGATCACGTGACTCATCCTCCGAGGGGTCGGGGAGTGGTTCTTTCTCCTTTCCCTTTGCCTTGGAGGTCTGTGCGCCACCGGCTTCGCCCCCCTCCTTCGCCTGCCGGATGATGTCTTCCAGCATAGGGAGGTTCTCCGTCACGAACTGGAAAATCTGCCGCTTCCTCTCTCCTGAAAGGGCCGAGCCCCCGGCGCCCCGGGCCGCCTCTGCCTCCATTCGCTGGGATCCCTCACCGCCTCCAGGGCCGGTGCTCTCTACCGTTCGCTTGGATCGCGTTCTTGCCATCAACACAATCTAGATTACCTTACGTTTCCCACAGACGGCGCCAACTGAAGAAGCGCTGAGCTTCCCCGAACCGAGCTGACCTGATTAGCTCGGCGCCCTGATGGAAGAGCTGGTTCCAAGCCTGCAAAACAAACAAGAATGAACAAGCAATGGGGGGCCCGAGGGTTGTCCCCGAGGGCGCTCCGACGGTCAAATTAGTTTTCCGGTGAGTCTAGTTCACGGGAGTAAGCAGTCGAGAGCCCTTGGTCAATAGTGAGCGTACCTTCTTTTTCGATGCGAGTTACCTTTCAAACCTACTAAGGGAGTCCGACCTCCGTACGTTTCGGGACCTGCCCGGAATAGCCCGCATCCCGCACTTAGGGGGATTGCCTCCGACCTCTGCGGGATGGTCCCTTGCCCCCTTCAGGAACCCTAGCAGCGCGGCGCAGGGCGGCTGTCCGGGGCCTGGGGCCGAGACCCAGCTCGGCCATGCCTGGGCTGCCACGTGTCTAGACCCAGGACGGGACCTCTGCAGAGTCATACACCGTGATGTCAAGGACACAAACATCCTGTTGGATGAGAATCTCGTGGCCAAGATTTCAGACTTTGGTCTATCCAAATTGGAAAAGTTTACCCAATCAAGGAGCTATGTTAGCACAAAAATAAAAGGAACTTTTGGTTACTTGGATCCAGATTATTTCATGACTCAAAATTTGACTAGAAAAACAGATGTCTATGCCTTTGGCGTTGTGATGTTGGTTGCTTTAAGCGGGAGACCTGCAGTGGACTCCAGAAATCCAGAGGAACCATGGAGTTTGCTATCATGCTTCAGAGACTGCATTGCAGAAGGGGAAGTTGATAGGATTGTTGACACAAGTTTACGGGGGAAAATACCATCCAACAGCTTAAGAGAATTTGTGAAATCTGTGGAAAACTGCTTGCAGCATCAGCCCAAGAAACGACCTACAATGGCTCAAGTTGTTGCAAACCTCGAGTCTGCATTGGAGCAGCAGGATAGCACCATATTTTCATTAAGAAATTCAGCTCCTTTAGTTGGCCAGTCTTCGCAGATTGGAACTCCCGAGTCACTAAAATTTGTTAAGAGCGAGGTGGCTCATATAGATGAGGAGCGCAATCAGAGTAAGGTAGCCCAATTGCAAGACGAAATCCAGTGTCCGGTAGCCCAAATAGATGAGTTGAGTGCCATGGCTCCTCCAAATGAAGAAACTAAAAGTAAGCACAGCCAGAATCTTGCCTTTCCAGTTAGAGGAAAACCAACTTGGAGCGGGTGGCCATAGAAAGCAGCTCGGCATAGAGGGAAGGCAATGAAGACAACAGAATTAGTCTCACCAAATGATTTGGTTCCACCAAGTGATTCTGGTCCTCGCTTTTCAATTCAAGACATCCGAGCAGCCACTGACAATCTCGTTGATGGCTTTGCTATCACAAATAATGGATCATGGAAATTTTGCATAGGATTTATCCAGCAACTAAAGATGACAGTTTCCATTTACCAGTTTCATTTTGAAATATTTGGTCGGGAGGTTTTGGAACTATGCCGTGAGATTGAGAGACTATCACGATTGAGACACCCCAACTTGCTGTCTTTGATTGGGTATTGTTACCATGAAGATGAGAATAAGATATTCATCGTCTATGATCATATTGGCTCCATCAGCCTCGACAAACATCTCTACGGAACCAGAAATGTTGCTCTTCCATGGAAGCGCAAACTCCGCATTTGCCTCAGTGTAGCACAAGGGCTAGGTCACCTGCATAGGAGTCTGGGGCAAGCTACTATCCATCACGACTTGAGGGCGGCAAACATACTCTTGGACGAGGACGGGAATCCAAAGATTTCTCTAATCGGCTTGTACAAAGTAAGCCATGTGCATCAGCTTGCCAAGCCCTCAACCAAAGTTCAAGCAACGGGCGTGGAGTATTTGTCTCCTGACACCAAGACCACTGATTCACAATCATTTGAAAAATCTGATGTGTGCTCGTTTGGTTTGTTGTTGCTGGAAGTTCTATGTTGTCGAAGACCAATAGATTCTGAGCTAGATCACGATAACGATGACAGGTACCTTAAACATTGGGTAAAAAATAACATCAAAACCAAGAAGCTTCATCAGATTCTTGACTTCAATTCCAAAAGGGAAATTGCAGCAGCATGTTTAGCTGAATTTCTGAGGGTTGCTTTTAGCTGCTCGCTGGTCTGCGAAACTGAACGGCCATCGATGGATGATGTTATCAAGAAATTAGAGTCCGCATTGAAGTTGCAAGAGCAAGCAGAAGCTATGAAGCAAGATTTTAAGGGAAAAGGCTGTGATGATGGTTTCAATCTGGAGGATATTTACCATGACATATCAATATCAAATCTTGCGGACAATTGAAGTGTTTAAACCACCATCACTTCACTCAAGCTTGCAAATTCTAGATTGAGGGGCAATTTCCTGTAGTAAGTCGTTAGTTGTTGATGCCCAGCCGATTCTTGTAGATTTTCCTTCTAAGCGTCACAGATTACCAATTAGAGCCATGATTAATATGTACAATATTAATTTGGACAGTGTATTATTTGAAATATTATTTGGAATAATTACTGTAGCACTTTTTGTGATGTGATATATGTGAGATAAAAAGATGATTGGGAATATAAAAAGGTTGGTTGGGAAATGTGTTTATGATGCAAGCGAAATATTATTTGGGATAATTGGGGTATCCAAACACAATGTTTTTCTGTTATTTTTTAGAATAATAATATATTTTCCTTTCACCCATTGGTCTCTTTTTTTTTTTTTTTTCAAGTGTGTTTCTTGTTTTAGTTTTCTCTAATCTTCTAAACTTCCATCCTATGTTTTGTACTGCTTTAATTAAATGTATGAAAGTTTGTTTTTTAATTCGAGTCACCGTCAATTAATACGCAATTGTCCCTTTTTTTTAAAATTACTATACCTTCAACGTTTCCATTTCCATATTTTTGCATGTACAATTTGGCTTAGTAATTTATTTTTACTTACGAAAGTTTGGAAAATTTAATCTTAATATATTACTCAAAAGGCTTTGTTTGGCCTTTATGTATAAGGTATTGGTCTCTATTTACATGTATCTTTCTTTCCCTGCTACAGCATTTTTAAAACCAATCACTACCATATGTACGAGTATGTTCTTCTATTTAATTATTTTTATACACAAAAAAAAAATTTCTTTTTGGGACAAGTTAACTTTACAGTTTATCAATAATGTTCTTGAGATTCAATTAGGAATTAATTCCCCTCCTTCTGGCTCATCTTCAATGAGCATATTTTCACATGCTCAGAATTTTATAGTGTGCTTTGAACTTTAAGCTATTACATTATGGAAATTCAAATTTATTAATAGTGTAATATTTGTTTTCTTTACGCACAATAATGTGATTTGTGACTTCCAAATTTAACATAACAAGCTATACATAATCCCATTCAAGAAACGGGTAAAGAGCTGGATGTTTGTTTGGATTGTAAATTATTTGAGATATTTTTACTGTAGTACTTTTTGTGATGTTATGTATGTGAGATAAAAAAATAATTGAAAAAATAAAAAATTGTATTGAAAATTATAATGGTGATGTAAGTAAATATATTTGGAGAAATAACCTATTATCCAAGTGGTAGAAATAATTCATACCCTGCGTCGGCTTGGCTATTAGCCTATTGCTACAAAATAATTTTTGATCCAAATTACAAAAAAAAAAAGAAAAAAAAATAAGTGGGTAAGATTTGACTAATTGATTATTACTACAAAATACTTTTAGCCAAAATAAAAGAAAAGAAATAGGAAAAGAGGTTTCTCTTCTTTGTTTTTTTTTCAGAGACAACAACGATTTTATAATCTAATCTATCATATACCTAAGGATTTAATGAAATCTAAGAATAATCTAGAGGAAACTGAGCCTCGGGTCGCCACGCACCTTTAAAAGGAGGTTCCTCTTCCCTCCTTTTTTTTTCAGCTCAAATCTCATCTCCTGTGAAGTGGAGCTCAGGTTAACGCCGAGACCAGCCCACCTTTTCACGGTCGCTGTTGAATTTTCCCTGCACTCCGTTTAAGCGGCGATGGCTAAAGTAAGTGTTGCTACTAGTTCTGTTTAGCTTGCTGCGAAATGGTGTTTAGCTTGTAAAGTTGTGCTGGAACATGACTGTTTGGCTTCCCGTGGAAAACAAAGTTGTATCCTTAGCTTGTACAGTTGTGTTTGAGCTCAACGTGCTTGGCTACCATTGAAAAACAAAGTTGTGTCCTTTGGATAATTGAAGAATTTAGCTTACCTAATTTCATTCTGCGATTTTGAAGTGTTCTTTGGGGAATAGTATCTTCCCGATTGCTGTTTACCCTTTAGGGTTCTCTCCATCTGTTTTGCATCTCCTGGACAGATATACACATGTATAATTGCATACAGTACGAATGCCTGAAACAAAAGATAGGATCTTTGTGCATAATTTATGATCCTTTAAAGGAAAACAACGAGAAGAGGGATTAGTCCTTAGTCTTGTAATCGTCTCAAGAGGGATGTAGCAAGTATAAAGAGGTAGGCCAATCTTTGAAGACTTAAGTTCAACTTCCCTGACGATTAATTAACTTTTTTAATTTTTTTCTGGAAAAAAGAAAACAAAATTTAATATATTTTATGTAATGGCTGATACCCTCCTGATGCGTCATATTTGATGGATATATCTCTTTCCATTCCTTAGCAATAAGCTAGTCTTTCCCTTTTAGTCTGAACTAGACATTTTGGTGCTGCTGTCTGATCTATGCTTTTGTTGGGCTTCTGGTTTGTTGATGTTTTATTGCGTAATCAGTTCACTATCTCAGCATTTTTCTCCATTATTGACCAACAGAAAGTCCTTAATTTTCTTTTTGCTTTTTGCTTTTTGGTGTGAGTTTCGCTGTCCCACTTACTTTCTTTCTCCTGTCTATTACTGTTTTGATATATGAACGAGTATCCATATCTGCATATTCTTTTCTTATGGATGTGATAATTTATAAGGCTTAGTTGGGTCTAATGTTTGGCTGTTGTTTGCAGAAGTGGTACCTAAGTGATACCGAGGATGAAGATATACTTGTGAGTATAAACTTTTCCTGCATGATTGTATAGAAGACTTCTATAGTTTTTCAGCTTCGACTTTGTTAAACCCAGTTCAAAAATATCAGGTGGTGATGGACAGAAGTTATATTGATCCTTTTCAGGAACATATTGAGAAGCTAATTGCGGTGGATAAGAAGGATGATCTTGTAGATTTTATAAGAAGCCAAGTTGATAAACTTATTGAGGACTTTAATAGAAATGGCTCTCAACTGGCATACTCCATCCTCTATAAGTGTGTACATTCTAGTGCACTTAATTGTGCAGCAGCACTATTGGAAGAGGAGACTGATCTGACCCAATATTTTAAATTGCCTGGATTAAATTTGCTCCATACTGCAGCAGATGTTTTATCTCTTAAGATGACGAGGTATTTTCTCAAATTTGGCATGCGGGCAGATGAGAAAGCTGCTGGTATTCATACACATGGTCGTCAGATGTTACTACCTATTGACTTTGCTGTTCAGTCTGTTAGGTCCATTTCAAATCATTTCTTGGATACCTTTACAGCACTTGCTGTGTTGCTGTTCTTTTTGGTGATTCATTTCTTTTGGTTGCTTCAGGAGGAGGGTTTTCTGGACCCAAGAACAGTCCTTTACAGGTTGATTTTTAGACTTATTGGACAGGGAATGGTAAGAATTCTTATAATCGTCATCCCAAAATATGGTTGTGGAATCAGTTTGATTGATCATTGATGCGCATGACTTTACGAGTGACATGTGCTTATTTTGATTTCCTTTGTGTCAGTATGGGCCAATAGAAACTATGAAGTTGCTCATGCATGAGATATCTTCCTCAGAGGCTTCTGAAATTATCTGTCGTTATGGTACAGAAGGGAAAATAATTGAGTTAGCCTCTCTGCTTATAGCATCATCGGAAGCCCATCTGACAGTTGATAATCTTTACATGCCCAGTAATGATGCCTCTGGGTACCGGATCACCTTGTGTCAGTACATCGTTAAAAAAATAGTAGCATTAACAAATGATGTGTGTGATCTAGAGCTCATGGAAAGCAACAAGTTGGCTGAGTGCAGATAAATGCAGAATTCAATGATGTCTATACTGATGTTGCCTGAAATTTTTTTGAGGACTGGACATCGTATTGCATGGGAGGCAAGTGAAGCAATTTATTTTGTATGTATCTCTGACATCCAATCCACTTTGTTAGTTTATTTAGGTAATTACCTTTTTATACTCATTTGTTCTTTTGATTGGGCAAGTGAGATAACCCTTGCTGCCACAAATTACATTTCTGCTATAGGATGAAGGTTGATACAGCACATTGTATTTGTAATAGATAAAGGACAGATTGCATGAAATGTCCTTGACGTTTGAAGAATCATGAGACTTTGCTTGCCTATGTTGTTTTTCCAGTGTCACTCAAGCAATTTGTTCATTAGTGAGTTGTCTGATGCTAGTAACTTGTATTGTCAGATTCTTAATACTGTCAATCACTTTCTTGGGGAAAACACTGGATACTTTTCAAGCATCAGATTTGGCATGGTGCTCTTCTGCTCTTTAATCTTGTCTAATGGTTGCGGATTATTATCCATCATGCCCAAGAGCCTAGTGAAGTTACTCCTTCAACTTTTGACTAGTCTGTATTGTTTCCTATTTGGGAGATATTAGAATTGACTAATACAATTTCACCTTGAAGCCAAACTCAAGGTGAATAGTTCAATGTGCTGGATTGGTATGGAAAAGCTTATACCCTAAAGGAGTTGAGCAAATATCAACCTTAATTTAACTGCAACTCCATCCCTCGAAATCATAACCCTTCGTGGGAAAGAAACAAGTACACCGAGATGGACTTTTAAGGCCCGGGTAGGGTAATACCTAAGACCAACCTCTTGAACTTATTGAAATTGCACTAGGATAGGAATCGGAGTAAGATGTGGTGAGATTCAAATGACAGCACGCCTAATTAGGGTAAATAGGTCAGTGTGTTCATCATTTTCTATCTCATCTTAAAGTTATCAACATTGATGCATGTGCACGTAGCCTCCAAAAAATAAGGCGCTCCGTTTTACACTTAGCGCTTAAGTTCCTGCAGGCTCCTTGCGTTCTAGTTTGCTTTGTGCCTTTAAACACTGTGGGATAAATGATATGTTGTTCTGAGTTTGGCAGAAACAGTAAAAAAAAAAAAAGCTTGTGCATATTCTCTCTAGAAACCAGAAAAATTATCAAAGTGCCCGAAAATAAACCAATAACAAAAATAGCTTTGCCTATTTTGCATCGCTACATTCTCTGCCATTTGATTTACTCTTTTTCTTGGTGCATGCTAATTAAATACTTCTAGTAATAATGAAGTTTCAACCAACTTAACGAAGTTTTTTGAGCAAAGTTTAATGGCAACGAAGATCCTTTTGTGTTGATACTTGTGTGTAAACAAAGAATTCTTTCATTAGATTCTTATGATGTTGAGTTTGAAAGGAGTTGCTCTACTTATTTGTATGAGCAACGATTTACAGATGTTTAATAATACTCATATCTACACACAGTGAAGCTGTAGTTGTGAGGAAATGTACTTCCTTGTCCATGATGAGCACCTTAAAAGTATAGGTTTTGCTACATACACATGTTGTAGTAATAAGGTAAACTAGAACGAGAGGATTTCCAGAAAGACTTTGAGGATAGTAAACAGGGGACTATAGCCCTCAGCAATTGAGAGGAAAAACATAACTTTGAAGGAGTCTAACCTATTTTATGTTTATGGAGGAACAATTCCCTCATCTAAGAATTGGCACTCTTGTACTTGGGTGCTGTTTAATTGGCTTAATGTATATTTGGTTTGTGTTCTTGTGTGTGTGTTAGATGTCTACTTAATTTCTAAATGGAATAAATTCATAATTAAGGTTAACTCTTTTATGTGGATCTCTTTTCACTTCCATTACTGTATTATTTTTTTTAAGTCTGAAAATTGCTTTTTTGGTAGTATGCTGCAACAACAAATGCGGTTGCAAATTTGTTAGCTTCATCTGGCTTTGAATTGACCGGTGAAGATGCTTCTTATCTCCAAAGACGACTGCGGCTATTTGGTACACCTGTGTCATTTGCTTAATCATAAAACTTTATCTCATTTTTTCATTTACTTTCTGTGTGTATGTTTTTCTGATGCTTCCTTTGTACCTGAAATTTCATTAATTCGCAAGTGGTGGAGTTCATCTATGACATTTGTTATTTATCTACCTGCTTTTTTTAATGTTCTTGGTAACTAAACAGACGAGCTACGTTCCCGAGTGAAGAATTGTTTCCCAGATGGGATGCCATTGCTAGATTCATGTGAGAGAGTGGTATGAATAACTTGTGGACCATTCTTGCAGTTTCCTTGCTGAAGTAAATTATATTACTTTTCTTTCTTGAAATAATTGTTTTTGCTCGAGGTAAGTCATATGTTATGATAGTTATGCAAGAGGTTATTTCCTAATGCATGCAGGTTTACCTTTTTTTGATGTTAAACAGTTGAGATTTTCAATTTGTAAAAATGAATATCCGTTGACGAAATGAAAGATAAAAAATTTTCAATATATTCTTTTATCTCTGAAATTCATGTAAACTGTCATTTCATGGACCAGAACCTTGTACCTTGGATTTTATCTGTAAGATCAATGTGCTTAACTTGAGCAAAATTGATTTATCTTTTTACTTTTGAGCAGGCTGATTTTGGATGGTGTGAAACTGATTCAGAGTATGACGAGCTGCTTCCACTACACAAAGCAGTTGATAGATTAAGGTACAATGTATAGGCCCTCTCCATCACATTTTGCACTTTCTATATACTTTTGGAATGGGAACCAGGAAGAGCAGTTATCTTTTATGCTTCTTCTCTCCATCTCACACACATGTTCACATGTTGATGCACTTAATGGCGTTATCGTGCCCTTCTCTTTCTATTTTTGTAGGTCTGATATAATTACTAGCCATTGGAAACAAAATGAATCGATCTTTAAGTTGATTATTGTGCTTTGCCTTCCTGAAATGGTTTGTTCCTCTATTTAAGTCTGATTTTGACCATTGATCTTTTTCATGCAAGGATATTGCATAAGATTGCTTATTTGGTTACTCCTGTGGCAGAAAGAACGATTGGAGGCTGTTGATTTGTTTGCGCAGAAAGTAGATAAGATTAATCAATTAGCCTGTTTCCATGCTAAGGAGGGCAAACTCATTGAGTTGGCCATCGTATTTATCATATCTCGGGAAAAGGCCATGGATCCAATCAAGCTTCAGATTAATGGTGATAGTTCTGAGAGGTCTATGACATTTCGACAGTTCATCAACAGTGAAATGGCACAAGCAATTGATCTAGGGTACAGACTAATAGGAAGAATAACAAAAGAAGAAGAAGAACTAAGTAAGTTTTTATTCTTTTTTTATTTTAATTAATTTTTTGGTTGATGATTTGCACTTGTTGTGCTAGAGTTATGTTTGAGTGCATCAGAATTTGCGTCTTCCCTTTCCCCTTCCCCTTTTTAAGGCATAGAGTTTCCCCTTGAACCAAAAAGATTTGCATCTTCTCTGGTTTGTTACATTTACAGTGCCTTATATGGTGTTTATTTTCAGGTGCGAAAGGAAAAAGTTACCAAAGAGGTCTCCGTGCTGCTATCAGAAGCTGGTTTCAACTTAAAAGAAGACATTGAACTGCATGATCCAGTTGAGAGGTCTGTTCTTACTGTTCCTTGAACTCAGGATTTGGTTGCTCCTGTTGCTTCATTCCTCATCTTTGTAAAATTTGTCAATTGCATTTAAATAGAATCAATTCTTTTATAGCACACTTTGTAAGACATTTGGAGTTTATGAATGAATGAAAAGTTGAGACATGCATATGTGATGTAAGTATGCATAATTGTGATAACATACATTTGCATTCATGTATTCAAAGTTCGATGGAGGTTGAACAAAAGAACGAGGCACTACAAGATCCACACACGAGTTCCGGTATGTTACAAGATCGAAACACAGTTGATGGTATGTTGCCCCTTTTGAGTATGTCTGTATTAAGGAACCAACTGATTTGAGTCATTTTGCCTTTTGCTGCACGTTAATTGGGACGGATGAAAGGGTTCATGTGGTGACATGAGGAACTTTCTTTTCACACGATATCCAAGGGAGTGCTTAAATTTGCCATCTGGTGCCCGCATTTTGGACATCAAAAGACAGTAAAGCCAGCTATTGTACTGGCTTTCCAAAAGCATTGGAGGTTCAGGGCGGTGCTGTGAGAGGAGTCAATTCGCTCGTGCAGAAAATTCCAGCCAGCAAGCGTTTTGCCTCCGTTGCATTAGCAGTCATTAGACATGCTGCCTGACATCGAGTGCTATGTGAAACAAGTTCTTTAGAACCTACCTGGATGAAGGTAATTACTACTTGTAAGTTCAGGATGTTATGGTGGTTTGTTGATTACTTTTTAGGTCGCAGTCCTAGTTAATTTAGGTGTTCCATTGTAGGCCTAGAAATTTGGAGGGTGGGTTTCTAAAGCATTTCTTTGCGTTTGAGTGATGCGTATCTATACTATGGGGTTGATGCTGCCTTCTTTTTTTTTTTTATTTCTATAAAACCCCCATCTCCATCTTTGTGTGTGTGTGTGTGTGTGTCGAGTTCTAGGGCTTATTACCTGTAATCTCCAGCTTTCACACCATAATTGGAAAGTAGTCTATAGTTTACATTTTTTTTTTTTTTTAACGAAGAACCATTATTACCATCATATTCTGTCCCTTCAAACAAAGCTCGAACCAATTGAGGGCCATGGGATAGAGAATACTGGAAATAAGACCAATATGATTGCCAACCAAAAGGCAAAAGCAAGAGACACAGAAATTGAGGGGCCGTTTCAGGAGTCGTCAAAATGAACAATACAACCTAGCATGCTGAATGATGTGAAGTAAAGATTCACAGTAGTGTCACCGGAACAACTGAACAAGCAAAGCTAGTATTCAATTCGCAACCAAAAACCACAGCCTCTCTCTCTCTCTCTGACATCAAATGGGTAAAAATGGGGAGGGTGCACAAAGCAAAAGTAACTAAAAAGGAGGTCAAACGAATTATATATATTCTTCAGTTCTCAGGTACGTACGTTAAGACATTTCAAGTCTTTAGGTTCGAGTTTAAAATCAGCTTCTGCAGGCAGCTCTATCCTTGATGACTTGTACACTTTGCACCTTAAAGTAAAAACCATCATATAAGGTGATTTTACCAAAGGAGACCAAAAAAAGAAAAACATATTACCATTTACCAAAGGGATCCAATCAAAGTTCCCTCTTAGTAGAGAATTCCATAATCACAAGTGATAGTAAGCAAAAGTCACAAATGAAAGAACTTGAAACCTCAAGCTTGCACTGCGACTACTGGAGAAAGCGGAAAGCAAGATTCCAAGGGACAAGGACTTGATACATAGTGGAGGAAATTTACCATATCTGGCGTATGACCGGTCAGAAGAGGTCAAATTATTATTGAATTTTTACCTTCTTGTTTAAATCTGACCGAATGCATGCATGCATTTTTGCGCTCAAAGATACAATGGAGCCTAATCTAGAATTTTGATTTTTCAAATCAAACTCCTCTACGCCTATGTAGGCTTGTGGTGTAACTTTCTCTACCTCTGATAACCTTTCACCATGTGTATTTGGAGGAATCTTTAAAATATTCTTATAACCACGCAGTCCTTCTTTCCCTGCATACGACTCACCTAATCCAACTAGTACAAGAAATTCTCGTTTTCAAATTCAATACCATTGATGATCATATGGGGGTCTTTCTTTGTATTTTCCTATCTTGATGTCAAGTCGAGTAGCAAACCGGAAACCAATACGCGTCTTAGATGGCGTTGGCGGATTCATCTTGACCGGGCTTGCGTTGCTCTTTCTCCTCTCAACGGAAAACAAGTGTCCCTCTTTACTTTCCATAATATATAGCAAACTCACCACCCAAGACACTAACTATACATCTCCAAATCATCATTCAGAAGAAGAAGAAGAAACCATAATATATAGCAAACTCACCACCCAAGACAATAACTATACATCTCCAAATCATCATTCAAAAGAAGAAGAAGAAGAAGAAATCAGGGGAACATATCTAACCTTCAGTGTCCAGCAGCTCAGCAGAATCAATAGTTACGAAGCTATTATGTATCTTGAGCCAATTTTACTCGTCACTTTGTCTTTACACATCCTACTTGGCGTCAGTCACCATCGCTTTATAGCTTCTGTTCAGGGTTATAGTACTCCAGGCCCAGCGGCTCCATATTACGTAGGTGATGATATTGCTATTAACTGTGGTTCTGTTGGCAACTCAGCCGCACTTGATGGCCGTGAATGGATTGGAGAAGCAGCCTCACAATTCCTGTCCGGCAAGTCAAGAACCTCAACTGCACTCGATAAATCATTCTATGCTGACCCAATTCCATACATGATTTCAAGAATCTCTGCAACTCCCTTCCACTACACATTTCAAGTCAGTCCAGGTCAGAAGATCATCCGCCTGCATTTTTATCCCGCTTCCTATCGTGGGTTTGAAAATTCTTTTGACTTGTTTAGCGTCAAAGCTGGTCTTTTCACCCTCCTTGAGGACTTCAGTCCTTCACTTACTGCTGATGGTTCTGGTGAAAAATATATTATTGTCAAGGAATTTTGTTTGAATGTTGAAGAGAACAAAAAATTGAGTATATCGTTTTCACCCTCTTTGATTACCGTGTCAAAAGATAACCCATATGCTTTTGTAAATGGAATTGAGATCATTTCCATGCCAGCTGGTCTTTATTACACTCCTGATGGTGATTCAGGTGCTCCTATTGTTGGTCAGAAAAACCGATTTTATAGTGTTGATAATAGCACTGCGCTTGAAATGATAAAAAGGTTGAACATCGGAGGGAGCTTCATCTCATCAGTAGAAGATTTTGGAATGTTTCGTAGATGGGATGAGGACAGTAACTTCTTGCTAGAATCCAGAGTTTATCGCATGAACCATCCGGTGCTTAGTATTAAGCACCCAAACATGCCACCATTCACTGCGCCACTGAAACTTTACCAGACATCCTGGAAAGCAGGAGGAAAGTTGAAAGTAGACCAGACGTACAACTTTACATGGAAGTTACCCATATATATGGGCTTTGGATATTTAGTCAGGTTTCATTTCTGTGTGCTTGATGCTGGGATGGCAGATAAAGATAAATCCGAGTTCACTATCCTCATCAATGATCAGATGGCAGAAACTCAAGCTGATGTGATCAAATGGAGCGGTGGCACAGGTACTCCAGTATACAGGGACTATGTGGTGATAATGAAAGGAGACAAAGAAGGCAGCAAGTGTGATCTCTTGATTTCCCTACAGTCACCTGATGAGTTAGTCCTTGGACTCCTTAATGGAGTAGAGGTGTTCAAGTTGAGCAACCTTAAGAACAGTCTTGCAACTCCAAATCCTGCAATTCCAAAAAGAGTTTCTGCTGCTTCAAGCCTAAAGATTCATAGCATGTTCTTAGCTTTCGGCCGAAGCAATAATGTTGTGACCAGTCTGACAATTGTAATCATTTTAGTCAATGCAATAGTCTATAGGTTCCGGCAAATTTGGGAAGAGAAGTTCCATCTTGATAGGAGAAGAAAAGATAGAGAAGCAGCCACAACTGAGCCATCTTTTACTCGCTTCTCACTTGCAGAAATCATGTCAGCAACCCAAAACTTTAGTGATGCACTAATAATTGGCAAGGGAGGCTTCGGTAAAGTTTATAAAGGGTGCATTCAAGGTATTTCACAGTTTGTTGCCATAAAAAGGCTTAAGTCTAGCTCCAAGCAAGGAGCTCCTGAGTTTTGGGCTGAAATAGAAATACTGTCCAAGCACCGGCACATTCATCTTGTCTCTTTGATCGGCTATTGCAATGAAGCCCAGGAGCTGATCCTTGTGTACGAGTACATGGCTCGTGGCACACTTGCTGATAATCTCTATAAAGTTGGCAACAAGGTGAAGGATCGTGCACCTCTTGGTTGGGAGAAGAGGCTTAGAATCTGCATTGGTGCTGCTCGTGGACTGGAATACCTTCACACTAGCACTGAAGAGGGAGTCATACACCGGGATGTAAAGGATTCAAACATCCTGCTGGATGAGAACTTTGTATCCAAGATTGCAGATTTCGGACTATCCAGACTTGAAAGGATTCCCCAATCCAAGAGCTATATTAGCACAAATGTTAAAGGCACGCTTGGTTATCTGGATCCTGACTACTGTACGACTCACAGGGTAACAAGAAAAAGCGATGTATTCTCCTTTGGCATTGTGCTGTTGGTAGTTTTGTCTGGGAGACGTGCCATTAACACTGGAACTCCAGAAGAACAACGAAGCCTTCTGTCATTTTTCCGAGACTGTATTGAAGGAGGTGAGCTTGATAAGATTATTGATCCTAGTCTACAAGGGAAAATGCCATCAAACAGTCTTAAAGAATTTGTTAAATGTGTTGAGAACTGCTTGAAGTACAATCCCAAAAAACGACCATCAATGGCTCAAGTGGTGGCAAACCTGGAGTATGCACTGGAGCAGCAGGAGAGCCCTATTTTTTCTCCGATGTTTTCTGTATTAGGGGTTGAGACAGCAGGGGGCCAGCTTTTTGAGAATGGAGCTACCGAGTCATTTCAACTCAGTCAGCATGAGGAACCTCCAATACTGGAGGAGAGTGTCATTTCTCGTCCAAATGAAGTCACAACCAGCAAACCGCTTCAAAAAACTGCCTCAACATCAAATGGAAAAGACTTGCAGTCGAGTAAAAGAGACTCTGCTCTGATACGAAAGCCATCAAAAGGTTGGTTGTGGAAAGCAGGTTGGAACATAGGTAAGCAAACGAAGAGAACGCATTTCATTTTACCCAATGTCTCTGGTCCTCGGTTCTCGCTCAAGGATATCCAAGCAGCTATGGACATCTCTGTTGATCATCATCATTTTATCATAGATGGGGAACTCAGGAAGGTATACATCGGACATATGAAACAGCACCCAGAACTCGCGTTCTCCATATACCAGCTTCCAATCGGTAGACGTCACAAGGAAGTTTTAGACGTTTGCACTCATGAGATTGAGAGGCTATCTCGACTGAGGCACCCAAACTTGCTGTCCTTGATTGGGTACTGTCACGATAAACTTCAGGATCAGATCCTCCTTATCTACGATCACATTGGCTTTGCAACCCTCCAAAGCTATCTGTATGGCAGCAAAACAACTAATCATCTCCAGTGGAAGAACAGGCTCCAGATTGGCATTGGGGTGGCGCAGGGACTGGATTACCTCCATAAAGGAACCAGAAGCACAATTGTCCATCACGACGTTAGGCTGGAAAATATCCTATTGAATGAGGATTTGCGTCCTAAGATATTGAATTCCGGGTTGTCCAAACTAAGCCCTGTTGCTCATCTTGAAAAGGCCCCTTCTAGGAGTGAACTACCGTGGCTGGAGTATTTGTCTCCTGAAGTAATAACCTCCGGATTGCAAGCGTCGGAAAAATCAGATGTGTACTCATTCGGTTTGGTGTTACTGGAGCTTCTGTGCTGTCAAAAAACAAAGGATTTCCAACTCTGTGTTGGAAACGATGAACGGTATCTCAAACATTGGGTCAAAAATCACATAAAAACAAAGAAACTGGATGAGATTATCGACCCGAGTGTGGAATGGGAAATTGCATCAGCATGCTTAGCTGAATTCTTGAAGATTGCTTTTAACTGCTTGCGCGTTCGGAAAGCAGAAAGGCCCTCGATGAGTTATGCCATTGAAAAGCTAAAGTTTGCACTGCAACTACAGGAGAAAGCAGAAACAAGATTCCAAGATTACAAGGGACAAGGTCTTGATAGTCGTTTCAACTTGGAGGATATTTACCAGGACACACCATATCTGGCGTATGACTAGAAGTTTTCCAACAGCATTCTTTCTTAGTCCACTTTCCCAAAGGGTGCTGTAGAAATAAATAAACAGACCATTGAATGTCAAGTCCTTTGGGTTTCAGTCCAGATTTTCCTTTGTTATAGATGGCAGTTGTAGAGTGTTTTTTTTCTTTTTGGAGCAGAGCCTAATTTTGTGCTATCGTGTTTGTTGATGTGTATGATATTTCTTGATGCTTGTTTGTACCCCTCAAAGTTTTTTCTTGCCGGATTGAACCTAAAAAGTTACTTTTTCAATGATAGAGTTTGAACATTTGCCAACTTAAAACCGAAGACAATGAAGTGCTACAAGTGAAGGGGAGATGTGGTTTTGGTCCTACACGGACCTTTCAACTCGATGACCTCTAATGTGAAATGCAAAAATGAGAAAAGGAAAATCTGCTCTCATTTCTTGGAAATTGTTCTCATAGGTGAACTGTTGGAAACTTTTCAAAATTTGTATGATGTACATACATGTAATTAATGTATATTCATTAATTTTTGGTACATGTATAGTATTGTGAATGATTCTAAAATGTACATTCATTTATGAATGTATTCATGTATATGTGAATTATTGAATGAAAGGATAGATTCATGTTTTGATCTAATGATCATGAGATGCATGAATTAAAGTGCATGAATGTGTACACAATACTTTGAATCTATTCATACACAATACTTTGAATCTATTCATACAAGTGTTTAATGAGGTCTTTTGTTTCCCAAACAAATCTTCCTATATAAAGAGATCAAGTAGAGAGTGGTTTGCTGCAGAAAATCACTTTCCTACTATCCTTATTCTCTCAAAAGCACTCCTTAGTTCACAAAGGGTTTGTCTTGCTTTGTGCAAGAGTTTAAGACAAACAAAACTTCATCTTATCCTAAAGGATATTTGTCCAAGGTCATTGCACTTTATATCGGACAAATAAAGCCTAAAGGAAAGTGATTTCTATCACGATTTGAAGCCAATTCTAGTCACAATATTTGCCAATTCTTTGCTTTTTACCCAGCATGAACAACCGTGACCTATTCTGGAGCTGTTGAAGATAGTAACTTCCAGTTTCTCGTGATTTAATGAAAATAGTAAGTAATTTCACTGGCTTTTCTTTTGTATACTTCTTCTTCTTTTGTATAGTTCGTTCGATCAATTTCACAAATTTTGACGCAGACCGCGTATGACTCCGTCGTTGGCAAAAGTCACCCACTTTTTTTATTTTAATTCGTTGGCAAAAAAAAAGTGCGAGCTCACTGGTCATTGTCATTGTCTTCTTTATGGCATTTCTTTGAAATTTCGAGGTTTCAATCAGATTCTAAGCAGACTCCACTCTCTGGCCATTGTCATTGTCTTCTTTGTGGTCCTTCATTGAATTTTCCACATTCATTTGTCTCACATCTAATTTTCTTGCTAGTTCTTGATTCAAGAAATTTTTCATGTTGGCTTTCAGGTCAACCAATTGAATCTCTCGTCTTTTATGTTTACTTGCAAATCACCACCTGCATATGAGATATTGTTGGCCAAGTAATTGCCCGGCCAAAAAGAACAGAAGGAAGAAACTCCAGCCTGTTTGAAGTTGAACCCATGTACTTGAATCCAGTTTTTGGGGTTACTTTATACTTGTACTCCTACATCTTGCTCAGTTTTGGTGATCATCATGTTATAGCTTTCGTTAATGGCGGTTACAAAACCCCAGCAACTGCCACCTATGACTAGAGGTGTCAAAATGGGTGACTTGGACGGGTTTGGGTTGGGTAAAATGGGTAATGGGTATAAGTGAGTCAACTCATTTATATCCATTTAATTAGATGGGTATAAATGGATAAGTCAAAAAATGAATTGGGTAACCCAATTACCCATTTATAACCCATTTATTTTAACTTTTTGTAAACTCATTTAAATTTATTTTTGAAAACTAAGTTATCAATTTATACTACTCTTTGTACCCATCATTAGTTTTAAATATTTACTTATAATGTTCAATAAACTTAATTACCAATTTTTTTTATTTATACTCTATGTCACAAAATTACCTATTATTTAATAATTAAATAATAAGAATATAAAAATTTGAACTAAGTACTATAAAAATTAATATAAAAACTTAATCCAAAAATTTTGAACCTCTAACATTTTTTCATATATAAATTTAAATTTTCATTTTATAAAGATAAGAAAATAGGCTAAAATTTATCATAAATTGGTAATGCTAAAAAATGAGTAAGTTAACAAACTAAGATAAAATAAAATAATAAGATAAAACCAACAAATAATAATAATAATAATAATAATAATAATGAAACAAAAGTAGTTAACATCATGACAAAATGAAAATTTTGAAAAAAAAAAGGTGGGGGAAAAGAAGAGACTTGGGGGGAAGAGAATTCTAAATGGGTTAATTGGGTTTGATGGGTTACCCAATAATACCCATTTAATAAATGGGTATTATTGGGTAACCCATTTATACCCATATACAAAAATTTAAGATATTCATACCCATCTATTCATGGACAGGTATGGATAAATTTAGTTAAGTGGGTTGATTTGCCACCTCTACCTATGACATAGGTGATGTAGCTATAAACTGTGGCTCTGTTGGCAACTCAGCTGCACTTGACGGCCGTGAATGGATTGGAGAAGCATCCTCGAAGTTCATGCCTTCACTGCAACCAAGGGGCAAATCAAGAAGCTCAACTGCACTTCAAGTATCGTCATTGTCTGTTGATCCAGTTCCCTACACGACAGCAAGAATCTCTGCCACTCCATTCTACTATACATTTCAGGTCAGTCCAGGTCAGAAATTTATTCGCCTCCATTTTTACCCTGCTTCCTATCGAGGCTTTGAAAAGTCTATGGACTTTTTCACTGTTAAAGCTGGTCCATTCACCCTCCTAAGGGACTTTAGTGCTTCGTACGCCGCTGATACTTCAAGTGTCAAGTACCTTGTAAAGGAATTCTGCGTGAATGTAGAAGAAAATAGGGAATTGAACATCGTTTTTTCCCCTTCTCTGAGTAGCAAGTCAAGAAACACATGTGCTTTTGTGAATGGTATCGAGTTAATTTCGATACCGACTGGTCTTTACCACACACCTGACGGTGATTTGGGTGCCCGCATTGTTAATCTGATGAATCGATTCCATGTCATTGACAATAGCACTGCACTTGAAGTGATTCAGAGGTTGAATATTGGCGGGAACTCTATCTCACCAATAGAGGATTTTGGCATGTTTCGAAGATGGAGTGAGGATGCTAATTACTTGCTAGAACCTGCTGGAGTTCATCAAGTGAGCCATTTGGCAAAGAGGATTAAATACACAAACATGCCAGCGTTCATTGCACCACCAAAACTTTACCAAACCTCCTGGAAAATAGAAAGAGATGCAAGAGCAAACAAGATGCACAAGCTTACATGGAAAATACCGGCAGATTTAGGCTTTGGATACTTGGTCAGGCTTCATGTTTCCCAGTTTGGAGCAGAGATGTCAACAAACGGGCAAATGGAATTCAGAGTCCTCATAAACAATCATATAGCTTAGGCTAAGGCTAATGTGATGGAATGGAGTGGTGGCGCTGAGATCCCAGCATACAGGGACTATCTAGTCAAGGTGAAAGGAGAGACAGAAGGAAGGAATTGTGATCTCTTGATTTCCCTAGAGTCATTTGATGTGTTTGTTTTTGGACTTCTCAATGGTGTAGAGATCTTCAAGTTGAGCAACCTTGAAAACAGCCTTGCAACTCCAATCCCTACATTTCCAGAAAGAGTCTTGCCCTCTTGGAAGTACCCGAAAAAGCAATATATTTTCTTAGCTATTGGCCAAGGCAACTTCCCAGTGACTAGTATGACAATCCTCATTATTCTAGTCAATATAGCCGTCTTTAACTTGAGGCAGATGTGGAAAGAGGAATTTCACCAGGGAAAGGACACACAAACGACGACAACTGAAGCATCCTACCGTTGCTTTTCACTCTCCGAGATCGAATCAGCAACCCAAAACTTTAACGAGGCATTTGTTATTGGACAGGGTGGATTTGGTAAAGTGTACAGAGGAGTCATCCATGAGACTTCTGAGGTGGTTGCCATAAAGCGGTTGAAATCAAAATCCAAACAAGGAGCTCATGAGTTCTGGACTGAAGTTGGAACACTTTCCAAACTCCGGCACATACATCTTGTCTCTTTGATTGGTTACTGCAACGAATCCCAAAAGATGATCCTAGTGTACGAGTACGTGCCGTGCGGAACTCTTGCTGATAACCTGTATAAAAATCGTAGAAACAAGACAGCTTTTGTTCCTCTATGTTGGGAACAAAGGCTCAGAATCTGCATTGGTGCTGCTCGTGGACTTGACTATCTTCACACTGGAACAGAATATGGGGTCATACACCGAGATGTAAAGGATACAAACATCCTCTTGGATGAGAACTTTGTAGCTAAGATTTCTGATTTCGGGCTGTCTAAACTCGAAAAGACGAGCCAATCAAAGAGCTATGTGAGCACCCGAGTAAAAGGCACATTGGGTTATTTGGATCCATACTATTTTAGGACCCATCAACTGACAAGGAAAAGCGATGTATTTGCCTTTGGCATCGTTTTGCTGGTAGTTTTATGTGAGAGACCAGCAATGGATACTGAAAATCTGGAGCAACGGAGTCTTCTATCTTGCTTCCAAGAATGCATCAGCAAAGGAGAAATTGATGAGATTATTGATCGTTTTCTTCAGGGTAAAGTTTCACCAAAAAGTTTAAAGATCTTTGTGAAATCTATTCAAAATTGCTTGCACAACGACCCCAAAGAAAGACCTACAATGGCTCAAGTGGTGGTAAGCTTGGAAGATGCACTGAAAAGGCAAGAGAGTACTAATGTTTCTGTGGCAGAAATGGCAACCATTCCAGGGGATGCACATTGGGACATAGGGAAGCCAATAAAGAAAAAAGAACCTTGCTATCATTTTCCAATTGATGACATCCGAGCAGCAACAGACAACTTCAGTGATCGTAATGTCATCATGCAAGATGCATTCAGGAAGGTGCATCGAGGTTTTCTGCAAAATATGCATAGAGAAGTTTGCATTTACTGGTTTAAGCAAAAGGTAGAAGAAGAGGAAGTTCTAAAATTCGGCGAAGAGATGGAGATGCTATCCCAACTGAGACACCCCAATTTGCTTTCCTTGCTTGGGTATTGTTACCATAAAAATGAGATGTACCTTGTGTTTGATTACGATGGCAATAGAACTCTCTCCAGCAATCTATACAGGAGTCGAGAAAAAGGTCCACTGAACTGGAAGTGTAAACTACAAATTTGCATTGGTGTAGCAAAAGCTCTAGATTACCTTCACAATGGTACCCAGAAGACAGTAATTCATATGGACCTCAGGCCAGCAACCATCCTGCTGGACATCAATTGCGTCCCAAAAGTTTCTAATTTTGGGCTGTCTAAAATAGGTCACATCGATCCCTGGGCAAAGCAGTCAGCAGCTGGGGTGGTCTCAGAGACACTGGATCATATGTGTCCTGAAGATATAAGCCTTGGTGTACAATGTTTAACGGAAAAATCAGATGTGTACTCATTTGGTTTGGTGTTGTTGGAAGTACTATGCTGCCGAAGGTCATTGAGCAAAAACAGTCTTCGAGACTCAGTTAGAAGAAGCATTAGAACGAAAACACTTCATCAGATAGTAAACTATCTGGAAGGTGAAGTTGCAACAGCATGTCTGGCTGAATATTTGAAAATTGCATTTAGCTGTTTGCAAATTCAGGCAGCAAGACGGCCATCAATGGACACTGTCGTTGAGAAACTAGAGTTTGCACTGCAGTTACAGGAGAACGCAGAAGCAACAAAGCCAGAGGTGAAGGGGAAAGGTCATGATGGTTTCAAGTTGGAGGACATTTACAAGCAAATACCAAATCTTACTTCTACAAAGCCGAAATGGAAACGGCCACTTCTGTTTTCGGTTTGCCGAGAGTGAGCTGAACAACTTTGTGCTTGTGTTACTTGATAAGTCTTCGATTCTAAATTATAATGTTGCATGTATGAAGATTGAAATCAACAGTCTACTTTTACGTATCAAGAAGTTGAGTTGTCTTACTGAATAAAAACCAATGTTGAGTTGTCTTGTTGGATAAAAACCAATGTCATGTAACAAGATGGTTGCAAGTTTTAGTTGACATTCCTCTACCAAAATACATTTTTGTGATGGTTAGATATATGGATCGAATGCACTTCTATTGTTCAAGCTCTAGTAATGTGTCAATCGTTCATATCCAATGTATCGACAGAAAGACATTAAAGCGTCTATAAAGAGGGCAATACAATTCATAGAGAAAGCCCAAAATCCAGATGGTTCTTGGTAACCATCTCATGAGAAAGATGTAACATGGCTTGCATATTGTATAACCTTTTCGAAAAATAATGGACACCAGAATTACGCCTATCCTAGTGACACGGGCTGCGCCTAAGTTGTGTGCGGCCGTGCCTTTCCGCACGGGCAGCCACGCGCGCTAGTGCCTAGTCGCACGCACGACCATGCCTGTGCGTGCTTCCACGCACGCGACTGTGCCCATCCGCACATGGTCGCACGTGATCGTGTCTAGTTGGCTAGGGTTATTCCACAAGATGTTAGAATTGTGGAGAAGATTCTAGAACCTTATAGAATACTCATGAACCTTATGGATAGCATGCATCTTGAGGATAAGCATGAACCTTGTGGATAAGTTTTGATCATGTAGATAAACATTGACCTTGTAGATAAGGTTTAGACTTGTGTAGAGAATTTCAGGATCACGTAGTATTTTGGATGACCTATAAATAGGTCAAGCCCTTTGTATTGGAAATGGTTGGCAACCTGTAAAGAAGTTTTGTGTGTAATATAAGCTTTCCTTTGTCACACTAACATATTTTTGCGTTCTACTTTTGCGCTTCCGCATTTTAACTCTGTATTGAGTGTTAAGGGTGAACTAGTTGGGCGTTCATGGCTTAAGACTTGAACGTACGTTAGCACCGCACGGAACGGTAACATGCTACATTTATGCCTCTTGGTTGGCTTCGCACACCTATGCTGCTTGCGGGAAAACGGATAGCAACAGTAAGTGCAGTCCAACAAGCAGATCGGAGTATTGTCGCAGGTTGAGTTTTGTCCGGTTCAAATTGATTTATCGGGAATTGTGCAGTCAATTGAAAGCTTGTATTCTTGTTTCAAAGAAAAAGAGAAATGGGAAACACCCTTCATTCTTTAACAACAACACGTCATGGAGCCATGGTGATGCAGCTATCACATTCAGAAGTACAACTCGAATTTAATGGCCGCAATTTTATTCCACCAGCGTTTACTGGCTACCAACTTCAGTTGCTCCTTTCCTCATTTACTCCTGCCCCAAGTCCCTTACTAATCCTGTTTTCTCGACCTTCTGGTCCATTGGACGGTGAGAGGCACATCCATCCCTTGTTTCTTCAGTAATTTTTTTACCGCATAGCGTCCTTCCTCGTGACGACATCTATTAGCACAATTTTTTTTTTTTTTTGTTAATCGACAATTCCTACGCTACTGTAAGTCCTCCTCCTACACTAATCTATTTAAGTGAAGGATCCAATTGGGTCGGCAGAACCGATAATTCATTTAAGGGAGAGTCCAACTAGATCAAGAAAATTAACCATCATTGAATCACAATGATGTAATGTGCCTCCATTTAAATTTGAAGAAGTCATATATTAATAGCAAATGACAAGAGATAAGGATAAAATCTTGACCTCAAGGTTTTTGTGGTGGTCAAGAGCCCAAGAGCTGTTGGTTTCAATCTTTTGACAACAGTCATTTTTTCCTACTTCAGATTAAACATATCCAGATCATGAATTTGTCTGATAACTAGAGAATGAACTGCATAGATACACGTCAACACACTTATTTTTTGTTTTGGGCATAAAATTAAAGAATGAACTTCAAATTATTCTACTATTATTTCTTAGTGAATTGGTCATCAAGTAAAGTATAAATTATATTCTTAATGAAAGTTCAAGGTTCAAACCTTTACACATGCAATTAAATGTTGCCGATCCAGAGTGTGTCTGTCTCTTCCAAATCTTTAGAGCAATGTAAATGTTGCCGATTCAATCAAAAAAGGTACGCCTCCTACTATTATTAGAACGAAAATTTCAAACTTCTTATTAGTTTGCTTTTGCAGTGGAAAATCTGGAATTACTACTAATGTGCCATCTATTTAAGCACTCCGAACCACTAAACAACTCCTAACTACTTTTTCTAACATATCGCAATGAATGCGAATCAATACTCAACAACGTGATTAGGCCCCGCCCCGCACTATGTTTTCAGCGTTGCATCTATGGACACGATTAATGTTGCTGTTGTCTTTTATAGGTCAAAGAGTCAGGAGGCAACTATGCAAGTCATGTTTTCTCTAACTTTTCCAGTTAGAATTTAATGGGGGAAAAACGAGTAGTTGACTGGACTGAGACACTCAACTGTCCCGGCCCCTGCATGCACACCCACCGTCTCCTTTTTCACTCACTAGCCATTCCTCATTTCACCTGTTGAGATCCAACTCTAGTTTTCCAGTGCCATTGCCATATATGGCTCTGGCAATGGTGTGATTTGTACTCCCAGCATTAAAAACACCCACAGTTTTGTTCGTATCTGCTGTAAATTTCAATAGCTACAATAATTGACTTCACCTGTAATTTCCAGCTCTCCTACATTCTTATACCCCTATATGCCTTCCAACTTCCCTCATTCTTCTCTTTCAAACACCAGTAGATTTTCGTTGAATAACCTTTAAGCTTTCTCCTGTCCCCGAAATGGATCCCCCCCTATCATCCTCATCGCTTTCACCTTACTATAACATCATTTTCGCAGCACTAGCTTTCTTTTTATCGGGCCTGGTTTTCTTGGTATCAAGCAAATCAAAATCCAAAAGGTTGAATTTGCCTCCAGGGCCGCCTGGATGGCCTGTGGTTGGCAACCTCTTCCAAGTTGCTCGATCGGGGAAACCTTTTTTTCAGTACGTGAGAGATCTTTTGCCTATATACGGTCCAATTTTCACTCTCAAGATGGGCACTAGAACCATGATAATCATCACCAGTGCCGATTTGGTATACGAAGCACTCATCGAAAAGGGTCAAATCTTTTCTAGCCGGCCTCGAGAGAATCCCACCAGGACCATCTTCAGCTGCAACAAATTCACGGTCAATGCGGCCCTTTACGGCCCTGTTTGGCGATCCCTGCGGCGAAACATGGTCCAGAATATGTTGAGTGCAACGCGGCTTAAGGGCTTCAAGGATGCAAGAGATAGCGCAATGGATAAACTGATTGAAAGAATTAAATCCGAGGCTGAAGCCACCGATGGTGCTGTTTGGGTGCTGAAAAATGCCCGATTCGCGGTCTTCTGCATACTATTATCTATGTGTTTTGGGATTGAAATGGACGAAAAGATGATTGAAACGATCGATCAGATGATGAAGACTGTGTTGCTTGTTCTTGATCCAAGGTTAGACGATTATCTCCCACTTCTAAGCCCATTTTTCTCCAAGCAAAGAAAAAGAGTTCAAGAGGTCAGAAGAGAGCAAATTGAGCTACTCGTCCCGTTCATTGAAAAGAGGAGAAATGCTATTAAGAATCCAGGATCAGATAAAACTGCAGCTTCATTTTCCTACCTTGATACATTATTTGATCTTAAAATTGAGGGTAGAAAATCAGCTCCTTCTAATCCTGAGCTCGTCACACTTTGCTCTGAGTTCTTGAATGGCGGAACCGACACTACCGGGACGGCAATTGAGTGGGCCATAGCTAGGATGATCGAAAATCCTGATATTCAGACGAAATTATACAAAGAGATTAAAGGTGTAGTCGGCGATAGGAAGGTTGAGGAGAAGGACATGGAGCGCATGCCGTACTTAAACGCCGTCGGTAAAGAGTTGTTACGTAAGCACCCTCCCACGTACTTTTCCCTAACCCATGCAGTAATTGAGCCGGCCAAATTAGGTGGGTATGACATTCCAACAGATACAAATGTGGAAATTTTCTTGCCGACCATCGCGGAGGATCCAAAATTGTGGTCGGACCCAGCGAAGTTTGACCCGGACAGATTCCTCAGCGGTCGGGACGATGCCGACATAACCGGTGTCACCGGAGTGAAGATGGTGCCGTTTGGAGTTGGCCGGAGGATTTGTCCCGGGTTGGCCATGGCTACGGTGCATGTCAATTTGATGTTGGCCCGGATGGTTCAAGAATTCGAGTGGACCGCTTACCCGAAAGACAGTAAGGTGGATTTTAGTGAGAAATTGGAATTTACAGTGGTGATGAAGAATACTCTAAGAGCCCACGTCAAGCCAAGGATCTAATGTAATGTAAGAGAGGTTTTCTGCCATGAGATGTTAGGGTTTATATAGATATATAATTATCTACTACTACATATATTTCTTCATACTTCTGCTGAAAGTTGGATTTTGCTTTCTCCTTTTTTTTAAAAAAAAAAAATCTTTTAATACTGTATTTATTTCGGGAGTCTATTGATAGGGGTTTGACATAAACTTGTCTATGTTAATTTTAATCGTTTTCATAAAATTTGAGGAATTGGCATGCCATTGAAGTTGGACGGCTGAGGGCTGTGCAAGTATCTATCTTCTTATTTCTTGGATTGGAATATGGAGGAAAAATTAATCAAACACGTTTAAAAGCTATTGGCCGACAAAAGTGTCGTCTCCCAAACTCACTGGATCAAACGGCGTGAAAATCGAGTTACAAGAAGTGATCTGAGCCACATAAATTATTTTGGTCTAATCATTGCCATGAACCTTTCGGAACGGTTGTTCTGACAACCGTTCCGTTCCGGAAGGTATAACACCATTTGCACACGATATAATATCATCCGTACAAGGTGTAATAATAGAATAACAACGAGTAACACTATAACAACATTTTTGTGAGTTTCACACGGCGTGAAAATCGAGTTATAAGAA